TTTAATATGATTCCTCCCTACTAAAAAGTACCTTCTATTTTTCACAAATAACAGCTAGAGACACATATTAATGTTTTAAATTAATATTGAACATGAATAACGTGTCCCTCAACATTGTAAAAAATTAAATAATTTTATACGTTTGTAAAATTCTTGATATAAATTATTTGAACAATTTAATACTTAAATATTCTATATTTGATTTCGCTAACATTTCAATCAAATTAAGTTCTGATTTTTTTTAAAAAAAATTGATTAAATTTTTAATTTAATAGGATACACATGTTAATTTGTTAAATTTGACGTAAGAGAGGTACAAAATTAATCTCATTGTTTATGGCTACATATTCATACAGTCAATAAGGTTGCAGTCTTCACACGTTAGAATAATTTATCTTGTTTTTGTTGTTATGATTGTTGTCTGTCATCAAATTGACTTTAAGGGCCTAATGTTTTTATTGATTCGATTGTACGGATTTTTAGGGCTGCAAATTCAAGAGCATACCAACCTTAGTCTTATCTAGGGTTGTCAAGGGATTCGATTTGTTTAAATTCAAATTTAATAAAAAAAATCAAAATTTAAATTTAATTTGTTTAATCTACAGATTTTAAAATTTTAATTTATATTTGTATTCGTTAATAATCAGATATTTGATCTAATCTGATCTGAAAATTTAAATCCTAATAAAATTTCACAAAAAATTAATAGTTTTACTAAATTTAAGTTAAACTTCCAATCTAATTTAATCAACCAATCATTCTAGTCAATAATTTATATTTGATTTTATGTCAATCTTATTAATAATCTACCTATGTATGCATATACAATAATTTATCTTAATTAAATATATTTATGTAATAAAATACAATACAATTCAAATATCAAAAGATAAATAAAATGATTTTTATTTTTCGTGGTTGAGATCGTTTTAAAATTTTATTTTAAAATTAATCTGACGGCTAATATGAACATCCCAAATTTAATAGAAAAAATAAGAGTCTAAGAATTTATTTAGAATAACTTTTTAAAAATATTTTTAAAATTTATAATTTTTCATAAATATTTATTTTTTTAAAAAGTGACGTTTGAAACTGCCCCACCACCACCCCCCCCCCCCCCAATCGCTCCATCTCCATCAACACTACCACCACGAATACCACCACCACCACCCCACCATTATCACCATCGCTGCCACCACCCAACCACCATTTCTGCTATACACAACCAACACCACTGTCACTACCACTATCACCACCACCACTGTCCCACCACTATCGCCGCCACCACTGTCATCACTCTACCCCCACCCCCCACCGTCCTACCGCCATCATCCTTACTACCACAATCTCTATCATCATTATCATTAGCACCACTGCCGTCACCCTAGCACCCCCCGTCATTGTCCCATTATTACCCCTATCACCATCATCCTCATTATTCCATCACCACCACTACCCACCACCACCCTAATCGTCACCACTACCCACCACTATCGTTATCTTATTTTTATATTTATTACCACTATCACCAGCATCATTACCCTCACCACTGCTGCTGTCACCTTACCACCACCATCACTGTCTCACTATCACCTTTACCACCACTACTATCACCGTAGCCACCCACGTCTGCCATCATCAATAATGGCCGTTATCATCTGTCATAACCATCACTGTCTCCTAACACCACTCGCTCTTACTACAATCAGTATTTAAATCTTTTCTTTCTCCTCTATCTTTGTAATTTGATTTTGAGTATGAATATAAATTTATTAATTATTGATCATTTTTTTTATTACTGCGTGTTTTTAGGTACATGAAATAACTAATATATATATATATAATAAAAGTAGCTAGATTGTTTGACTTGAACTTTTCACGGCTTAGATTGTTTTAATCCAATGGTCATAATTAAACTTTCATTCATTTTACAACTCTAAAACTTTTATCTCTCATATAAATCTCTCTCTCATACTATTTTTTTTTGTTTCCTCTATGTTGTTTTTGTTATTATTTACTTCATAAAATAGATAAAAACTACATGTTATGCAATTATTTATTCCATGAAACTAATTGTCACTTACTTCTTAATTTGTAAATAACATTTAATGTAAATAAAAACTAACACATTGAGTATAAACACTAAATAATATTCAACGTGAAATAAATCTTAGATTGTAAATTAATATATAATTTTATCAAAATTTGACATTTTAATTTTGTCCAATTTATATTCAACTTTTTTGAATTAATATCAAATTAATTTTTATTGTTATCAAATTAATATTTAAATTTATTTAATCAATTTTTTGGATATTAAATCAAATTTTATTTGATTTTATTAAATTTTTAATTTTTTGGTACTGAAATTTGGAAAAGGGCAATTGTAAAAATAATAAAAAATTTTGAGATGAAATTATCAATTTTCATTAGCAACATTGAAGAAAGGGAGATATAAGGGGTCTCCGTGCAATGAATTTCAAACCTTAGGGGATCTTTATGTTAGTTATAAAATGTCATGAGGTGTTCATATAATATTGTCAAAATTCAGGAGATGCCCGTGATTTTTATCTTGTTTTTTAATTAAATGTTAATTTATTATTATTTTATCTTAAAAACTTGAATTATTGTATTTTTAACAAAAACAGTTATTGGTTAGGAGAGTGTGCTAGTAACAAAAAAAGAAATGTGTGAGTATGCTTCTTTATATATTTATATGTGGTGGATTGAATTTTGTTGATTAAATTTATAATTATATTATGACATTTTGGGTTGAATGATTATAGTGGTGATAAATTCATTAGTTTTATAAATGAGTAAGATTTGGTTGATTTTATTTATCACTTAAAGATTGTGAATTTAATTATGTTTTGTTAGTTTTTTTTTTTTTTTTTGCTTGAGGTATTTATTATATGGGGATAGGGTGGATTAAAAATATGGTGGCTAAGTTTATCATTATATGTTGTGTTATTGGATTGAATGGTAGTAAAGTTGATAAATTCGTGAGTCGTATAAATGAGTAATATTTTATTTATTATTTAAAGATTGTAAATTTCAATGAATTATATTAGTATTTTTTCTGAGGCATTTGTATATATGTTGTTATTTTAGGGAGTTTTTATATATATTTATGATAGTTCCATTACTATAGAATATATGGTTGACGATGTATATCAAGTCATTTTAAAAGAAGAATTTATCTGAATATTTTTAGGTCATTCTTTTTGAATTTGGACAATTGTTTAAATTTTTTTTTTGTTTATTATATAGTGCTTTTAAGCACGGGTAATGACTAATATATATATTAAATCACATGAGAAGTTAAATTTTATTCTCTACATATTTTTCCCCCCAATTTCATCACATCACCCATCTTATGACATGTTCAATCATTTAATATTTAATTAATTTATAGTATAACATAAATTTTATTTCAGATATTATTTATATACGATAATATACACATGTTGAAAATTTTTTATTAAATTATGCATTTTAAAAAAAAATTATCAATATTTTTAAGAAAATATCCATAAAAATAAATTATCTATATTTTTGACCGTTCGAATTTTATATTTTTTCATGTCTTTAGGCACGGTATATGACTAATATATATTTATATTGGATCGGATTTACATATATTTAAATCCAAATCCTTTTAAATAAACTTTAATTAAATTCAAATCGAATTCGAGTACAACAGATTATAATATTAATTCTTATTCAATTAAAATAGATTCAAATGAAAATGAAAATATGCAACATTGACAGGCCTAGTCTTAAGCTTGATTCACAGCCCCGACGATGTTTTCTTCGCATGTTGGGCCTAAAGCAATGGGTCTTTCCTAATCAAACCAAGAATTTAGGGCTTCTTGCTACGCTATTTTCCTTTAAAAATTCATTGTGTTTTTCACTTAATGAACTAGTCTTTTTTTTTCAAAGCAGGAACATCTTTTACATTAGGGGTGAGGCTATTCTCACTTCATTTAATTTTTTATTATAACACTATTAAACTTACTTTTTCTATACCCACTCCATGCTACATACACCATTTTTAATAAATAAATTCACTTTATATTTTGTTATAATTTGGATTTCATTATCTATTTTATTTCATGCACCCACAAAAATACTTTTTTAATATGAATTTTTTCAGTGAGATACATGTTAGTATTACTTTTAAATTTAATTATATGTTTGATTTCATATTTGTTATATATATTTTTATTATTTTTGGCAAGTTTTGATATCTTTATTAAGTTTAATAATTTTTTATTTAGAATTTATATGTATATACATATTATCTTGTTAAAGTTTTGCATCTATTGTTGTTATTTTTTTGCTTGTTCGATTTTGTATTTGTGTTTGATACTTATTTTTATTTTCATATTCGGTTTTGCGTTTTTTAGTTTTGCTTGTTCCTTTAATATTTTTTTTATATTTTTTTCTTCTTGTTTCGATTTGTTTCTTTCTTTCTGTTTTTTCTTTATTTCGTTCTTTTCTTTTTTATTGTTTTGGTCTCCTCCTTTCTTTTACTTGTTTAGTTCTTTTCTTTTTTCTTATTTCAGCATGCTTGATTTTTTTAACTTGCTTCGTTATTGATTTTTTTTTCTTTTCCAATTTTGCTTGGTTTTTTTTTTCCTTATTTTGTAAATATGTTCACGCATTCAAACTAATTGTCTTTTTTCATTATTTTTTTTTATGATGACTTTTTTTTATTAAAAGGGTGTAGATAAAATGGGTGAGCTTAACTATTAATGGGGTATATGTAGCATGAGATGAACTTAGTTACTAATGAGATGTGTATAAAAAAGATGAGTTTAATAGTTTGATAGTTTGATAATGAAAAATTAGATGGAGGTGGGAATTGAGATTTGTGGGGGTGGAAATAGCCCCACCCTTTACATTATGGTTACTGGCCAGCCCAAAATCCTTGTTGCATGAAATGATCAATCAAGACATTGGACAGTTCCACAATAAGGATATTGGACCATGACTTTAGGCCCATTCCTTAACATCATTATATTCTTTTAAGAAAATAGAATTTCTTCATAATGCACACCAATTTAGGAATATTACAAAGTATTGAGGTACAAGGTGTAATATCTGAAACAAGAAGACAATTTTAATTTGCCCAAGACATTTTCTATTTTCACACTGTATATCATATAACACAAGCACAAATGAAATATATTTATTGTGAAACTATAAGTTTATGGATACCACCAGGGGCTCCTCACCCTTGTCAACAACAAATGTCGTTGAAACTTTCTTGGACCGGGTGACAACTTCCACCACGTACGTTCCCTGGAAGCCTCTAAACCCGAATTGTCCCTGATCATCGATATGCCCATGAGCATGGGACAGCCACTCCTGTTTAAGAGCAAGGTACCTTATTCCAGCTTCATTAAGGTCACCTTCTGCATTCACTAAATGAGAATTGTCTCGGCTCATAAACAACTCCCAGAATCCCCACAGCATCACACCATCCACTGCAGGATGGGCAAAAGCTTCCCGGAGCATTACTTCCAAGTCATCAGCTCTAACATGCTCGTTATTGGAAGACACATCAAGCTCTGTGAACCAAATTGGAAGACCGAGAATGCCCAAGTTATCCAGAGCAGAACAAATGATTGGCCCAACTGGACTATCTATATGCCCTTGAACTCCAATTCCTCCCACAGGCGCGCCTTGCTCTTGCAAATCAAGAATGTGTTCAATGTACTTTTCTGGAGATGATCTGGTGTCACAACCATCCTCAACATGGTAATCATTTACAAACAGGGTGGCAGATGAGTCTAGTTTGTTTGCAGTCTTGAACATGTTTGCTCTGATATCTTTTCCCAAATGGTCTTGATAGAACGACCCATGCATCATCTCATTGTTCACGTCATAGTGCTTAAACTTTCCCTTGTAGCGTGTGAGAAGGCCTGTCAGACGGTTTTGAACAGCTGTCATCAAGTCGGTTTTATTTAAAACCCGTATCCAGGACTGAACTGTGTTTTCCACCTCCCAGAAAATACAGTGTCCACGGACTGCAATGTTCTGGTTTGTGCAGAAGTTCAAGAGCTCATCAGCATCTCTGTAGTTGAAATTTCCTTGCTGTGGCTCTGTCCAATACCACTTCAACTCATTTCCAAACACAGCCCAGTTAAAATTTTTAGCAAAGAAATCAACGAAATCTTCATTGTCTATGTTTGTTCTCATCATGCATGACCCAAAGGGGAAACTGTTTTGTGTTTGCCTGACCCTCAAAAAGGTGCCAGGCAAACTGCCTGAATCTGATACTGAGAATTTCAGGGTAACATCACGCTTACGTATCTGTATGAAGAGCAAGGACAATAGTCTTAAGTCAGAGACTCAAGAGTACAAAAAAAAAACAAATGTAGCTTGCCCAGTCTCATATAGAAATGACAGACAGACAAACAATTAAGGGTTCAGGTAGTGAGTACATCAAGGTATAATACTTGGCATTCTTTTATTCAAACTGCATACTATAGGATGAGGCATGTTTGTACTGATTCTGATGCTTATATTCTCTAGGCACTTTTTAATGCATAGGTAATTAAATTTTTACCCACTATGAGGTGTTTATGGACAACCCATTTAGAAAAAAAAAACACCTAAGCAAGATCAAGTCATTTTTTTCTACTTTTTTTCAGTTTTAGAGAGACAGAAATAGCTGTAAGAGAACCAGACTTCTTGTGCCCTTTACTGCAAGTGGTGAATGTTGACTATAAACCAAATTTACTGCCTAGCTTTGGGGTACAAGGGATTTTTCATACTACAATGTTTAAATTGAGAGGTCAATTTAGTGTTGTAAAAGGAAAAGGACCCAGGAAGATCCAATTTGGCAGATACGTTTTCAAATGCTACGGCTTTAGTCCGAGTCAGAAGAACTTCAATTTACCAAAACTATGAAGTAACAAGACAATTCATTGACGTCTTCTTGTCTGAACTTCCAATTCAGTATATTCCACGAAATACAAAAGATATAAACCCAGAAAGTACCTTATCAGTTTGATTCTTTAAATGTCTGAACCTTGTCTGTCGATTAACAGGAAAAATTTGAAGCCCAGCAACCATCATATCCACACCAGGGGCAGGACCTTGAACATATACCATCACCTTGTCTGGTTGCTTCTCGATCCTAAAAGAGCCACCGATTTCATGCCATCTGTCATCATTAACCTCAACTTGGCCACCATTTACCCACTGGCTGTCCACCCCCAGTGCTACGTTTATGTTCTGAGGACCGGTGGCCCCAGGACCAATTCTGACCCATGCAGATACTTGATATGTCAAATATAGTTTCACTTTATCTGTGATCATCTGAGCAGGACCCATCCAAGTCTGAGTGCGCTTAGTGACAAGAATGTACGAACCACTTAGAGGCTCATGAGGTCCAAGAGAATCTCTTGCCATTGGAGGCAGTATATGTGGTGAACCAGTTCCAACAGTCAGAGTGCAATTGCCAAGAGGAAACCAACCATTGGTGCCATCATTGAGGTTGCTGTTCGCAATAATATTAACTCCAAAAGGTGCTTTCTGGATGACAAGAAATCCATTGTTGACTACTTAAACATAGTTGGAAATTTGGAATTCACTCTTGAAAATATGCATGAGAATTTACTACATAATGACATGTGATAGACCACATAAATTCTGAGGTCCAAAACAACTAAAGAACTAACCTCAATATCTGGAGGAGGTGACGGAGGGATTTTCTCTGCATGCTTCAACACTAGACTATTGAGAAGAATGTCAGTGCCTGGAGGTGGACCTTCTAAATAAACTACTACCCTTGATGGAGAACCATTTATAAGAAATTTTCCATGCATCTGTACCCAGTCTTTGTCTGTTGCCTGCACACTGCAGAAAAACACTAGCTTACTGTTGAAGGGTTTAAGCAATGTGAATGAGATTTCCTACTTCATTATCTAGAATGGGGGAAAACTAAGAAGGGAAAGAAAAAAAACTTAATTAATGAAGAAGCATAACAAGCACAAGAAGAAAGAAGAACGCCAAATATTGTATTATGTGAATTATAACACATTACATCTTCGTAAGTAGAAGAATCTAAGGAGGTCAAAAAAGGAGCAAGGATCACCATAACCCAAAATGTGAAAGTGAAATGTTCCGCATGGTGGTACCCATATTACAAAGAATTTTAGTTCATTAGGAAATTACAATACTATGGAAACTATTACTCTCATGTAAATAAGCTACATACAGAATTCTTGTATGGGATAATTAAACTACATATATAGGCATAAAAGCTTTACAAAAATGTTTAACTCAACAAGCAGGAAGGTTTTTGAAGTCTAAAACAGAGTTTTGATTAATGGAATTTATTTTCATTTATAAACCAAAGCTGTTGTGCCGCAATGTTGCAACACAGTCATGGTATTAAGGGAATGGACAAGATCAGAGAATCAATTCCAATTATCATAAATTAAAATACTTAATTAACGCTTAAATTCCGAAAGAGTAAAAATAAAGGCATGTCTTTGAGCATCACGGCCAGAAGCTAAAGTGCTAAACATACTTCATATAGTTATCAAATATATTCAACATACTGCTTAGCAGTATCCTAGAGTGTGGTGATTAGTGTTGCAAACACCGAAAACAAGTCTCTGACCAGAATTTCCTGTGCAAAGAGATTTTATCAAAGTATTGAATGCATCGTCACATGGACACAAGATAACGTGGAAGAAACTAACTTGGCAATGCCAATGTACTGTTCACGGAGATCTGATGCCTGAACCCATAACGTAGCCCTTACATCAGCATTGGTGACGTTGTTACCAAATATTCGCACTGCAGCATTAACCTCATATGCAAGCTTTCGCTGCACTCTTCCAGTTATCTCTTGCTGAATCCCATTCCAGCTCTGTGAGCGTTCTGTTGCGGAAGCAAAGAACTTTCCAGTCATTGGAATGATTTTTCCATTTCCCATAGAGTCATGCAAAAGAATCTTGCAGCCTCTGCCAGACCAATTATTAAGGCCATCCTCAAATGCGGGGTTCAATATGATGTTGTCATCTTCAGTGCAGATGGATCTAGTGCTCCGACTCTATCAGATCAGAGATGAGGGTACTTATCAGTAATAAAAAGGGGAAATTGAGCACACCACAACGAATGACCAAAAAAGAACAAAAGAACTATAATTTCCATTCTATTGCACTTGATCACAAATTTGATTTCCTCACTTCATTCAGCTTGTCACCAAAACTTTTGCTTTGCCCTTTCCTCAATACTAGAGTCTTTATTCTCACATGTAGCATAAGGGAACTAGAGCTAACTTACAGTGGGTTCACTGGAACAGGTTACCACTACTGATTCTATGAGTAAGTCAACTCCAGGAGAAGGCCCTTCCAAATAAAATACAACACGGTCAGGCATAGTTGACAATGAAAACTTGCCTTCCAACTTCTGCCACTGGTCTTTTGAAACGGATGTCCTGCATGTGGTGATTACCATCAGCACAAGTGTTTATTAAATAGAAGAAGGCAACCACAATGTGGAAGGAACTCATTACCGTCCAATCAACAAATAGCTAGTAGATGAATCTTGGTATTGTGATTTAAGTGTAGCCTGGACATTGGCAAAGCCCTGAAGAGACCCTGATACTCCAACATGAGCAGAAACAGTATAAGTGGAACCTGGTGAAATTCTGCTTGTGATATCTTGTTCCAAGCCTTGCCAAAGCTCCTTGCGATTTGTAATAACAGCATAACGACTGCCTGACTTTGCCAATAATGCTTCAAAGTGACCAGACTCGGCTGAAACCACAAAGCCATCACAGCAATTGGGATGCCATGAAAGCAGACCACCAGAGAAGTCATGATTCAGTATTATATTGCCGGCAATACTGTTGCTTGAACTGTTTACATCCTTGTTTGAGTTCTGTCATGGGAAAACATAGTTCCAAAGGCAATTTTATCACTCATACTGAAAGGTAGAAGCTAATTAACATTGTCCATCATAGATCAGCCATATCCATATCCTCATTAAAAGTCATTGCCACCCATATATTTAATTGTTGACACATAATTTACGGAGTGTATAGAATTCACAATTCCAGAAATCATATGATGCCTCTTAAGTCTCAAACCATTAATTGGACCTCTGGTGTGTCTTCATTAATTGTCTTACACTAACATACAGTGATGTTCCAACATGCCTAATGTTGTCACTTGGCCATCATAAGCCTGAAAAGTAAACCATTGATCTAGTTACCAATATTTGATCAATGAGGAAAAAAAACCATTTCTTCTCATTCGCCTGTTTTATAGTTCACCAAAAACCAACAAGTAAATTTCTGGTTCTAGGGATGAAAATTACAATGTCAAACAATTAGGAAACTAATTTCGCTGGGTTTGTCCGATTAAAATCTCAAACTCACCTGTCAGAGCCTAAACCCCACAAACCACCATGAAATTAGCTCATCCCGATAAATTTTGAAACAAAAAAGGTACCTTGATGTGGGAGGTAACACGAAAGGAATAACAAAAACAGTACATAAAAGGCAAAAATTCCAAATTATGATTTCCTCTAGTATGAAATTCTCTATAATTCTAAGTACCCATCAACCAGAACCGACCCATAATGAAGCATTATGAGACACAAATAACACCTACGAGGGAAAACCCAAAACCCATCATACCTCAGAATGAAAGCCGCCACTGACACTGCTTGTTGATGGGTCCTCCATATTATCCCTCGATCCCTCAATCAACCACAAGAACAACAAAACGATTTTAATGAACGAGATTCGAAATGGGTTCGAAATTAAACAAACTTTTTCATTTTGTACAGACCAATGAAAGGACACCAGGGTTTGTACCTGTGAATCACTTTGACTCCTATGGGCCTTCAGGGCTCGACTTCTGAAGCAGCAAGTCGATACCCTCCTCATTATATATACCCACTTCCACTGTTCGGGAAAATTTTCAAGTGAAGTATAAGAAAAGCGCGGGACCACCCAAACCCAACAAACCAATCAATCCATATGATGCAACAATTTGCTTTTCTCTCCAGTTTCCTCTTTTTCCATGTAATCCAAACAGCACATTAAATGGTTATAATCCAAGAAACGGCTTGCCTTTTCTTTTCAAGGATTTGCGTAATTGGCTTTAATTATGTTTCTTCTTTCCCCTTTTTGCTCTATTTTTCTTCTCTGTCCTTTGTTTTTTCCCCTTTTGGATCTGCCTTTGTTGGTGAGCTTACTTTGCCTTTCAGATTGGAGTAAACCTAGTTTCTATGCTTTGATTGAAAAGAAAGACACTTGCTTTGATCATATTCTATACCTTCCTGTGTTTTGGTCTTTGATTACAAGTCAAATGTCGCCCAAAAGTTCGGTGAAAACTGGCTATCAAAGTTCAAACAGCAGGTTGTTCTGGGGGTAATATACGAATCCGGCTCCTCTAATCTTAAAAAAGGCATTGTTTTACATCAAATCGTCTATTTAACAAAACTGCATCATTTTAAATCAAAATATTATCGTTTTGATCAACATTATTTATGTTATTCTTTGCATTTCCATGAATGCATATCATGTCCAATGTCATACAAATTTAAGCTATTAATGGATGGTAATGAATTTATTGTATCAAACACAAGATTTCGACATGTTAAATGAATTTATCGTGAATTCTTTAAACCACTCATATTGAAAAATTTTAAAAGCATAGACTCAAGTTAGAAAGATATTCAAATGCAAAGAAGGAATCTCCAATTAGTCTTTTTACCCCAAAAAATCACAAATTTTCTAGTCGTTGTGGGATTGTCATCTAACTTAATGGTAGACATGGACATGAAGTTTCTTTTACTTCAAACCATGCTTACTAGTCTTAAAAACCATGGGTAGTGGGCAATTTTAAAAACCATGCTTACTAATCTTGAACATAGTTACACACAAAATCAAAAAAAAATAGGGTTCAACTAGGACAGTTAATTGATTTGATCTTTTGTGAGCTTAAGTCTGAGTTTGTCGAACTTGTTTTTTTAAATGAACTTAAAAAATTGATCAAACTCAAATTTTTTTTTTTTTAAAGAATAAGTCAAGTCTGAGTTGTTTAATTATGTTATATATAAACGAGCTGAGTTTTAAGAATTCAAACAGAGAGTTTTTAGGTTTGTTTTTTTTAAACGAGTATAAAAAATTAGTCCTATCAAAATCAAACTCGAGTAGTTTGACTCGATTAACAACCGTAAGTTCAATTACCTCCAAAAAAAGCTTTTCATATAGGTTGGATATCCTATATGTAGGGCATGAGTAGTTTATTTTAGTATTGAGAGAAACAGCCATCATGGGAAATATGTACCAATGATACCAATTCTGTTTTATTCAAATGAGAAATGGTACATAGAACACAAATTTCTAGCATTTCTCTTAACTCATCCATATGACAAGTAACTAAAACTTGTCAGCATTAAGTTTCATGAATTCTACTCATTGAAATAGATAGTTTGGCATATTATTTATTTTAGAAAATGCTACTTAAGAAAGCGAGACCGACATAATACAAAATAGATAAACCTTGCACATTTTATTTAATGTCACTTAAGATTATTGATATAGCACATTATGTTGGCATGTTGCATTCGCCATTAAAAACAAATATGAGATGTGACTGATATATAGTATTACAGTCTTTTATAGTTATTTATAGTCCTTATTTATCCTATTGTACTTAATCTTATGTCTTTATAATCTCTATAATAGAATTATCCTCTTTCGTATTATAACATCTCATTTTCCTTTTTTAGACACCTCTACCGTCACCTCCCCAAATCAATCGTACCTAAACCCACCTCAAAGCCAATCCACTATCACAACACCATAACCATAACGGGTAGAGGGTGGGGGGAGTCATCACCTAAAATGATTACTACAACCACCACAATCACAACAACTATTTATCGAAAGAAAGAGAATTAGGGTTTTTGGAAGAAATTTGAAAAAATTAGGGCATGAACCCAAGATGATGGAAAAGAAAGAAGAAAATAGATATGGATGAAGTGGAGTTATATATGTATATAGTGATTGGGTTAGAGAAGGGGTGCCAAGAGAGGGAAAGTGTCTATTGGTTAGAATGACAGAGGAATTTTTTTTTTTTTTTTTTTGGGAGGGTGAACGTGTGGAGAGTTCAATATAGAGTGCTTGGAGAGAGTATGTCTCTCTCTAGCTCATTATATAAGTTAATAATATTGTAGACATTAAAAAGTTAACATAAAATAATGTCTAATTAGGGCCCAAATCAAAATCAAACAAGTCAAAATGTGTAATTTGGTATTACGAACATAATCATTTATTTTAGGTGACATGAGAATTTAGATGTGGTTTTCTATTGCATTTCCAATTCCTTTTCTTGTATTCTCTTATTGTGTAGTTATTTAATTGCTCAACGCTCACTTTCCAATAACTGAGTCTATTTCAATTATTCTCTATTAGTTTGTCACACTCCTAATCAAATATAATTCCATGATGTTTATCGTTTCCCACTCCCCTTTAAATTGTAATTGTTCCTATATATTAATGTATAACTAGCTTAATTCCATGATTTTTTTGATTTTCCAAGTAGCTTAATTTCTCATTATTTTTTAATGAGAAATTAATAGAAGGGGGTTTGTTATTTCCATGCATCGGACGAGCCCGACACTAACAGAGTAATGAACATATCAGACAATCATATTTATTTATACAAAAATAATAGTACAATGCCCTCTTTTCCAAAAGGGTAAATTACATAAAGACATCCTGAACTTAAGGTCAGTTACACATCTTCCCCAAAAGTTTTAAGGATTTCACTTAATCCCTTTTTACTTCTGAATAAATTGAAAATTTAATAGATTCTGTTTATTGTAACGGTGTCTCTATTACACGCGCTACTTAAGCCTAAATGTTGTATTTAAATAATTTTATTTCCTAAATTAAAAAGTCATATTGCCAATTTTATCCTTTCATCCGAATTTTCAGCTGCCCCTCTCTTTCTCCAGTCTTTTCACTGGCACAATCCACACCACCACTGCAACTCCCTTCATTTTCCTCCTTTTCTCACCTCACTGTTGTTGTAACTCCCCCACCCAACCCTCCCCAGGCCAACACGACTTACCCACGTAACCCACCCCTCGCCGCTGCAACTCTCCTAACCCACAACCACGATGATTCCCCCACCCCTCGCCATTGCAAATCCCCCACCTTACAGCCACTGCACATCCCCCAAAATTTCCTCCATCGCATCTGATTTGAACAACCTTTTGATTTTGGTCCAATCTTTGATTCTGAATTTTGATTTGAATGTTAATTTTTTTTATCTTGATTATGTTTTTTGACACAATTAATGTGCAGTGACAGGGTGTTGATGGATGGTGTGCCAGATGAACTTTGGGCTTTTGGCTATTGTGTCAATAGGGTTTTGTGGTATTTGGATTGGCTATGGAAGAGGAGTTTGCAGTGGTAGTGGTTAAGAGAAGGGGTGTGCTTGGTTTTTTTTTTTTGGTAAGTTGCTGGAATGGATGGCATTATAAAGAAAATAGAGGGCATTTTAGTATTTTTGTAAAAATCGTTGAGTCTATGATATTTTTCACTTTATTCAAGGAGGTTAAGTACAACTAATAATTGTTGAAGGAGGTGATGTGCAACTGACCTTAAGTTTAGGAGAGTTTTGTGTAATTTACCTTTTCCTAAACCTTCCTCCCTCATTCGGGGTTAGTCCCAAGTGTTAAGATATGTGATGCTCAAGCCATTCATTCACAGCCTAGCTCACTCAACAAACGCTACTAACTAATTCTATTAGAATAGCTACTTGTAACAATAGATTGTTAGTTAGGTAGAACTAACTCATTCCACTTGTGATGTAATGTCTATAAATAACAGGGAGTGTAATCGTTGATGATTTGATAGATTCTACAATCTTCATTCCCTCTCCTTTTCTATCTCTCTCTCTCTTTACAAATATATACTTTATGTCATGGTATTAGAGCCTTTGTAAGAGACCTTCCTCTCTCTAGTGGCCACTCAAAATTCATCTTTTTCCTCAACAACTCAATCCACTTCTTCTGGACTATAATCCACCACTCGTACACTATTTTAAACTCCGATCTATCTTGTCTCCAATATTTACAATCTTATTTCATTAAGATTAGATTCAATGAACTTTGTCTACTGGAAGTTTCAAGTGACTGCTGTACTTAGAGCACACTTTCTTCTACAATATGTAGATGGAACTCTGATATGTCTAGTGCAGTTATTGTAAGATGACAATGGAATTCCAACAACAGAGATCAACTCTAAACACAGTCACTAGATTGTACATGATCAGACCTTAATGACTTTGATTAATGCAACACTTTCTCCAACAACAATCGCATATATTGTTGGTTTGAACACTTCCAGAGAAGTGTGGCTGACTCTCGAGCATAGATTCCCATCAACTTCCAGATCCAGTATTCTCTAATTGAAGTTAGAATTGTAGTCTATCACCAAAAGATTTGATAACATTGATGTTTTTGTTCAGAAAATCAAAAGTGTGCAAGCTAAACTAGCTGTTGCATCAGTACTCATAGAAGATGAAGATATGCTACTTTATACATTGAATGTTCTTTCCTCTGATTTTAATGCCTTCAAAACCTCTATTCGCACTAGATTTCAGCCAGGCTCATTTGAAGACTTACATGTTCTTCTCATCGCTAAAGAATCCAGTTTGACTTTCTTTGTCAAACAAGATCTACAGTCACAGATTCCTATTGATATGGCAGCAACACACTACAAACCTTATAATCAAAGCAATTGATGATACATGAGTAAGAATTTTAACCAAGTATGAGCTCGGGAAGCGAGGTCAAATAGGGAGCTCAGACCTCTGAAGCCCAACTCCCGAGCCCCTCTCGGATGAAATATCAGAAAAGTCAAGGAAAGAATAGTTGGCCAATAAGAGGAGCCCACAAAATAGCAAAAGAGCAGGGATCAAGGCATGAGACTTTCAACCACCCAAGATCCCCTCCTAAAATCAAGGAAAGTCCCGTGGATGAAGAGCAAGGATCTCGCTGCAGATCCTTTAGGGATAAAAATTATATTATATATACTGTACAATGCCTCCAAGATGTGGCAAGAAACCCTAGTTGCGTGAGAAAGCACATTGTAAATTTCGTTCCTCACCATTAAAACAAAAGGAGCAAGAACCTCAATTAAAGAGTGGACTAGCCAAGCTCCCAAGTCGGTGAACCATTATATTTTTACTGTGTAAATTACGCCAATCCCCCAGCAATACTTCTCACGATCCTCACGAGCCTTGTGGCTCAAATTTAAGCTACCAAGCATAATTCATATCTTCTGCTCATTCAAATTAAGTTATGCCTTCAGTTTTGCGTCGTC